ACGCTACACTACACATTAAAATCTAGCTGATACGGGTTTTATCGCGTATATGAACTTATTTTATATTCCCGACGGTTCAAGCACTTTATAGCACCCATGGTCACGGAGGGACTGAGGTGTTCGACGTCATAATGTCATGGTTAACCACGGCTACCTCCAGATTAAAATAATTCATTTTTGTTCCGATCCACGCAGTATGAACTTATAGTATCTTGAAGTTGTACGATTTGATTGGGATTTAATTTTATTAATTATAGAATCCCAAGGAGATAGTAGAACTCAGCCATCTCTATTGAAATAGGGATGTTTTTTTTTGATTTCAATAGCGTCGCGAATCATCCTTGGAAGGAATTAGTATTCTTAAACGAGGATTTGTGTTGTAGTGTCTGCAGGCTACAACACAATATATATATATATATATATATATATATATATTATACTGTATGTGAGAATATTAACAATAACCGCGTTACTTTGCGGAAATCCATTATAATAAAAATATAAAATTATAAATTACAAGGTGGGGCAGCATAACTTCCTTATTTGTAATGCGCGCCATTCGGTCAGGTGACATCGTAGTGGAGCGCTAGTGGTCTCGTTCGAGAGGGGGGGGCTATAAAGTTTAGTCGAGACAGCTCAGTCGCCATAATGCGTTGGAACAGTGAGGAGCGTGCGTTTGCTGTTGAGGCTTACTTTTCGCGCGGATGTTCTGTGATTGCAACTCAGCGCGCCTTTCGAAATCGCTTTAATTTAGCCCCGTTGGCCCCTGTTCCAGACCGAAAATCAATTGTTATGTGAGTCACTACGTTTAGACAAACTGCAAGTGTGACAAAACGAAGAACTGGAGTCCCTCGGCCCATTAGATCACCTGAGAACATTGAGGCAGTCAGAGCTTCAATGTTGCGATCACCACGGCGTTCTGCGCGCAAACATGCATCTGCCCTTGGACTTTCCAGTCGTTCTGTGCGGAGAATTCTCCATGAAGACTTACATTTCCATCCATACAAGATGGCGACTGTACAGGAACTGTCAAAACGTGACTACGATTCTCGCAGGAACGCATGTGAGATTCTTCTGGATGTCGTTCCTGAGGACGCTATTGTTTTTTTTAGTGATGAAGCACATTTTCACTTGTGTGGATCCGTGAACAAACAAAACATGCGCTACTGGGCTGACACCAATCCTCGAGAATTGCATGAAAGGCCTTTGCATTCACCTAAGGTCACAGTGTGGTGTGCAATTTCCTCAGCTGCAATTATTGGTCCCTGGTTCTTTGAGGAAAATGAAGTCACAGTAACAGTGAATTCGGGCCGGTATGTAAACATGTTACAGGAATTCTTTTTACCCCGGCTGAATGCGTTGGACTTGGGAGACATTTGGTTCCAACAAGACGGTGCAACGGCACACACTGCAAGAGCATCGATGGCTGTTTTGAGAGAACACTTCCCAGAACGCCTTATCTCAATCAGGGGCGATTTGCAGTGGCCGGCCCGATCTCCCGATTTGTCCCCTTGTGACTTTTTTCTATGGGGTTTTTTGAAATCCCGTGTTTATGTGAACCGTCCAAGGACCCTACAAGATTTAAAGAACAACATCCAGGAAGAAATTGGCAACATAACGCCTGCTCTGCTTCAAAGAGTTATGACAAACACCAGAAATCGGTATACTCAATGTATAGAGAATAAGGGACGTCATCTACCTGATTTGATCTTCAAAACTAAATAAAACAAAACTTTAAGTATGTACTTACATTGTAAAAACCAAATAAAATTTTTCCGATTCATACAATGTGTTTTATTAGGTTTTAAAAAAAGGAAGTTATGCTGCCCCACCCCGTACTTCGCAACCTTCCGCTAGCTAAATACAATGATGTGTCTTAACTGGATTGAAGAGCATCTCCCGCCCTCCTTCAATTGCATGCACTAACTCCGTCACCACTAGTCCCAGCACCACTACGCCCAACACCACTATTCTAGGTAAGACACACCATCGACGATAATACGACACGTGTTTTGCCTCTACACGAGGCATCCTCAGGTGATGTAGACTCTACGGCGGCTGACCGCTAAGTGAGCGGCGAGCCGAAACAGCTGCTATTTATACACGCGACAAGGGAAATACTATTGTCATTATGGAGAGTAGAGGGTACAGCCGGAAGGTTAACGATGTTATCCAAGGTGACGACTTTGACTGTTGGAGTCTGACCCAACCAAAAAGTTTACTTCGGACATTAAAGTATATATACAAAAGTCGTCATATGTTTTTCCCGATCACAACTTGTCTCGGAGCAATCTTGTTCCATTGAATCCTCAAGCACCCACTTTATATGGGTTACCTAAAATACATAAAGAACATGTTCCTATTCGTTCAGTTGTCTCATATATAGGGGCACCAGCTTATTTCCTTGCTAAAAACATCAAACTTTCTTCTTCGGGAGAAATCTGGTTTCAACCCAACTTACAGCCTTAAAATATTAATTAAAACAAAAACTGCATAATAGATTAAAAATAAAATTATTAGCCTACATACATCCCACTAGTTGTCCCCCCAAAAGATCCTCACTAAAAGACACTGTTAGGGAGGCATATGTTTAACAGTGGACTTTTGATGGGCAAAAATATTTATGATGAATTTCATAAGCGCTTACGGGAATCAACAAAACCAGGTTGGTCGCGTACTGTGATATTTAGGGAGAGCGCTTCACCCCTGAGCTACCGCAGCTCTAATAAAACGTATACTTGCTTATTTTTAATCTCGCATACCAAAACTAAAGGTAATTCAACTTAATAACATTTTTGTGTAACATTCTTCTCGCAACTTAATAACATTTTTGTGTAACATTCTTCTCGCATAGCTAAAATAAAGGTAACAACATAATAACATTTAGCATATTAACATTTCTGTGTAACGTTAAGTTAACAAGCGACATTACTAGTGAAATAAATAAATATATCCAAAACAAGTTTAACTTAACGCAACAAATAGACGGAAATTTCACACGTGGGAAGTTATCTACTCTTCACGCTCGAAGGACATCTTAATGTATACCTTTGTATGTACTATTTATATTAAATACAGCGTGTCTTTCAGCGACTTAATATTACTATTTTTTAAGTTTATGTGTGAACTATATAATAATATAATTCTTTTTAAATGTTATTTATAAGAATATAATTAACTTATAAATAATATTTAAAAAAGAATAGTTCTGAGCACTCTTATCTATGGTTTCGAGTAAACTTAGTGATTATATACTCATTGGTTCTAAGGAGTCCCTTCTAAAATATACTCTTTGGCGCGGTCTACAAGGTGATACTTAAAGGATCCAAATGGATTCATTGAGCTTGTAAGAGTTAAGTATATTTTACATTAGTGGGAAATCGAACCAGGTATTTGATTTATTTAACCTGTGAATTCGAATTAAAGTGGGTGGAGACTAGCACAGTGGCAAAACAATCAAACAAATAAAAAAAAAGTAGATTAAGTGGATAAGGTAGGCATTTAGATAAGTGTTGTAAACTATTAGGTACTGGTACGAAGTATGCTACGTGTCGGCATTCGGCGTCGCGTGTTTATTGACCCTTTATTGGCTGATTTCAGGTATTGAAGTTACAATGCTGGTTTTATGTTTTGGTATTTTCATGATTTTTTTTAATGAATTTATCGTTTCATTTAACTGTACTAACGCGATATAGCGTGAATAAAGCTAATTAAACGTTGTAAAAAAAATGACAATTAATAGTTACCAGTATCTTATTTATTACAACTAACTTATATATTTAATTAATAAGTAATCAATTTGCTCGGAAAATGTCTTAATATTTAAGTTAAGTGACTTCCTAGACCAAGGCCTGTGACTGTGTTACTTTATAAAGTTAATTATGTGTGTCACGTGTTTGCGTTGACCATGACGATGACGGTGACGATGACGATGACAATGATGAAGACGATGATGATGAAGACGATGATGATGATGATGGTAATGATGATAATGACGACGATAACGATGACGATGATGATGATTATGACGATGACGATGACGTTGACGATTACCATAAAGACGACGATGACAATGACGATTATCATAAAGATGACGATGACGATGACAATGACGATGACGATGACGATGTCGATTATGATGACGGTGACGATGACGATGACGTTGACCAAGATGATGACGGTGATGAGTACGATTACGATGATGATGATGATGATGATGACGACGACGATGATGATGACGGTGATAATGTTGATGTTGACCATGACGATGACGACGACGATGACGATGATGATGACATTGAGGATGACTTTGACGACGATGATGATGATGAAGATGATGATGATGATGAGTATGATGATGTCGATGCAGATGATGATGATAATGACAATGACGATGACGATAATGATACGATGACGATGATGATGATAATAACTATAACGATGATGAAATGATGAAGATGACGACGATGATGTTGACGATGAGGATGATGATAATGATGATGACGATGATGATGACAATGACGATGACGATGATGGTACGATAACGATAACGACGATCATTATACGATGACGATGACGATGACGATGACAATGACGATGTCGGTGACTATGACAAGTTGATGAAATTAGACTGCCGCATTCTTCTTATATTTCATATGTCCTCAAAATATTTAAATTCTCAAACATGCAGGTTTTTTTACGATGTTTTCATTCACCAAAAATACGTGGTAAATCATCATCATAACTTACAATTTAATTTAATTTAACAATTTTATTAGTGCCGGTGAGGTACGAACTGAGCTACCGTGGTACCATGGTTAAGTTACTTCCTAAACCCAGGCCTGTGACGGTGTTATTTAATAAATTTAATTCTTTAAAAAATCTGCTGGTGAAATAAATAATAGACGATGACAATGGCGATGACAATGACGATGACGATGATGATGACATTGAGGAAAACGGTGACAATGATGATGATGACGATGACTACGACGACGATGATGATGAGTGATGATTTTGACGATGACAATGATGATTACGATGATGCTGGTGATGATGGTGATGATGTTGACGATTACGATTATGATGACAATGATGATGACATTGCCCATGACGACTTTGGTGACGATGATGATGACGATGATGTAGACTATTACGATATTGATGACGATGATGATGATGAAGACGACGATGATGATGGTGATGACGATGATAATGACCATAACGATGACGATGACGATGACGGTGACGATGACGGTGAAGATGACGACGATGATGACGAAGATTATGACAACGAGGGTGTCGATAACAATGACGATGACTATGATGAGTACGATGATGATGATAATGATGATGACGATGATGATGACGAAGATTATGACAGTGACGACGTCGATTAAGATGACGATTACCATAAAGCTGACGATGACAATGACGATGACGATGACGGTGATGATGACGATGATGATGATGATGACAGTGACGATAATGACGATGATGATGGCGACGACGACGATGATGATGACGATGATGACGGTGATTATGACGGTGATGCTGATGATGATGGTGATGACTACGATGACGATAACGTTGACCATGATGATAATGACGACGATGATGTTGGCGATGACGATGACGCTGGTGATGACAATGACGATGACGATGACGGTGATGATGACGATGATGATAATGATGACAGTGACGATAATGACGATGATGATGGCGACGACGACCATGATGATGACGATGATGACGGCTATTATGACGGTGATGATGATGATGATGATGATGATGATGACTACGATGACGATAACGTTGACCATGACGATAATGACGACGATGATGTTGGCGATGACGATGACGCTGATGATGACATTAAAGACGACGGTGACGACGACGACGATAATGATGATGATGACGATGATGACGGTGATAATGTTGATGTTGATGATGACGACGACGACGATGACGATGACGTTGACCATGACGATAACGACGACGATGATGTTGACGATGAGGATGACTTTGACGACGACGATGAGTATGAAAATGATGACGATGATGAAAATGATGGTGACAATGATGATGACAATGACTATGATGATTATGAGTACGATGATTATGATGATAACTAAGATGAAGATGATGATGATTACGACGATGATGATGACGATGAAGATGATAATGATAATGACGTTGAGGATGACTTTGACGACGATGATTATGATGAAGAAGATGATGATAATGACGATGACGATAATGATACGATGACGATGATGATGATAATGACAACCACGATGGTGATGATGAAAATGACGATAATGATGACGATAAGGATGATGATGATGATGATGGTGGTGGTGATGACGATGATAATGACAATAACTATGACGATGATGATACCATGACGATGGTGGTGATGATGACGATGATAATGACAATAACTATGACAATGATGATACGGTGACGATGACGACGATGATGAAGACGATGATGATGACAATGACGATGACGATGATGATACGATGATGAAGACGATGGTGATGACAATGACGATGACGATGTCGGTGACGATGACAAGTTGATGCAATTAGACTGCCGCATTCTTCTTATCCATACTAATATTATAAAAGCGAAAGTGTGTTTTGTGTTTTTGTGTAGTGTTGTTTGTTTGTTTGTTTGTCCCTCTTTCACGTCGCAACAGAGCGTCGGTATGGCATGATTTTTTGTAAGGGGATAGTTCGGTGAATGTAGAGTAACATAGGTTACTTTTTTCTGCGGAAAATCATCTCATTCCTGTGGGAAAATCGAATATGTTGCACTAGTTTGTCCTTCTTTCACGTCGCAACTGAGCGTCGGCATGTCATGAATTTTGGTAAGGGGATAGTTCGGTTGCTGTAGAGTGACATAGGCTACATTTTTCAGCAGAAAAACATATCATTCCCGTGAGAAAATCGAATATGTTGCAAAATTAAATTCAGCTAGGTGGCGCCACCGTGATTCTACAATACATACGACGGTACGATGGACGAACACAGAAGGTCAGAATACCTGGATTATTATGTCTTTTTACCAAAATTAATATAAAAAAATGTATTTTTATCTGTATTTTTTCACGCAGGACCGGGATGAGAGCGATAAAAAACATAAAATTCACCAGCTGATTTTCTTCAAACGTTTTGGTGCATTGTAATTCACAGAATAGGCGATAACCTCGCAGACGATATTAAGTAATCCGTTGATGCTCTGCCTACCCCGCAAGGGTTACAGGCGTGATTATAAGTATGGATCAGAAATACTATCACCACCTATCACGCCTTCACCCTTAACTATTACTTAACTGTGGTAGAAACAGTTCTTAGTAAGCCTTATTATTAAGCCTTAGTAATATTTATTGAACGGAAATGAATACAGTTCTTATATGTGGTTAGGAATGAATCTGTATTAAAATAAGAAAAATTGTGAAATATTATAAGAAAAATATTTTTGAGATTTCTTATTAACTAACGTATATATAGTGTTACGAGCTTGAGGTTCGTGACAATAAAAATTGCCGATAAAATTACCTAAATTAACACTTTAATTTACTTTACACAATTAAAGTTAAAACACTAATAATTTAAACACATTAATTCACTTAATTCCACTCCGAAGCTTCGCTTGTGTCGCCGAGTTCACTCTGCCCCCATCGCATCTTGCAGCGCCTATATATTTAAATTAGCAAAGAAATATCCAGAATGTTCAAGTAAACACGCGGAAGGTACCGAGCGTTCGAGTTTCGACTAGGCGCTGTCAGTTGAGTGATTTGTGATGTCATTTTCTCAATGCTCCCCTCGCTCTCGTTCCTGACACTAGATGGCGCTAGTTGACTTATTCATGCAACACTGCCCCCTCCTAAGACATGCTCGTCCCGAGCATTATCGGTCCCATAATAACGCGCCAAGCGATCCACATGGACGATCTAAGGAGTCCCTCTTGCGCCTTTCTGTATCCGGTAGGTCACATCGTTGATCCTGGTTACAATCCGGTACGGGCCGTCCCATTTAGCTTGAAGCTTAGGAGATTTCCCTTTGCTGCGAACTGGATTGTGCAACCACACAAGTGAACCTCCGTCGAACCCTTTGTTGTTCATTTTGCGGTCATACCGGGTTTTCATCTTTTCAGACATTTGCTGGCCCGATTGTCTGACGTGCTCATAAACGTCATTCATTTTTTTCCGCAAGTCATTTGCATAATCGGTTATACTGCGTGGAGCATCGGGTGGTATCCCGGTGATCAGGTCTGCAGGCAGCCGTAATTCTCTTCCAAAGTTTGCGAAAGCTGGTGTCACTGCTGTACTTTCGTGAACAGAACTTCGATATGACAACAAAAACGGTTGTATGTGCTTGTCCCAATCTCGTTGCCGATTGTCTACAACTTTTGCTAGGTACCTCTCCAATGTCTGATTAAATCGTTCCACCATTCCATCAGATTGCGGGTGATAAGAAGTCGTTCTTGTTTTATGAGTACCCATAACTCGGCAAGTTTCCTGGAATATTTGAGACTCAAAATTCCTTCCTTGATCGCTGTGAATCTCTAAAGGTACTCCAAAACGACAGAAGACTTCATGAACTAGTTTATCTGCAACTGTTGAAGCTTCTTGATTTGGAATGGCGAAGACTTCTGGCCACTTAGTGAAGTAATCCATCACAACCATGAAATACTTGTTACCGCTTTCACTCTCCGGAAACGGCCCCGCCACGTCAATGGCTATTCTCTCCCATGGTGCACCAACATTGTACAACTTCAATGCACCTCTACTACGAGTCTGAGGTCCCTTTACAGCCGCACAACTTGTACATTTGCGACACCAGTCCTCGACATCGTTTCGACAGTGGACCCAGTAAAACCGTTCTCGGATCTTCAGTAGAGTTCGTTTAACTCCCAGATGGCCTCCTGAACAATCATTATGGTACAGCTGTAGAACATCCGGTACTTTAACTTTAGGGACAACCATTTGCAAATGACAGCTGTCTTCCCGAACGTTTTCCCATTTACGACACAGAACTCCATCCTGAAGCAGCAAGCTGTCCCACTGGGCCCAATAGCTTTTAGTGGTCGAACTCATCGCTGAGACGTCACTCCACTTGGGCTTGGGAGCACTGGCCTTTATCCATTCCAGAATCGGCTTGATGTCCGGATCTTCCTGCTGTGCATGTAGTAAGCTGTCCTTCCACTCGTTGCTGAGGTGGTCTGCCCTGAGCATCCTCACGGATACCACTTCCTTACTCTCTTGCCTAGTACAATGTTTGCAATCTTCAGGACAAGGTCTTCTTGACAATGCATCTGCGTTGCCATGAGATTTCCCGCTGCGATGTTCGATCTCAAAGTCGTATTCCTGCAGTAGTTCAATCCACCTCGCAACTTGTCCTTCTGGGTTTTTAAACTGCAATAGCCATTTTAGTGCAGCATGGTCAGTTCGTAAGTGAAATTTTCGTCCCAGAAGATATTTGCTAAAATGTTGCAACGACTTTACCACAGCTAGCAATTCGCGTCTTGTGACACAGTAGTTCCTTTCCGGTTTTGAAAATGACTTGCTGAAGTACGCTATCACGACCTCTTGGTCACATTACGTTGAGACAACACACCGCCAAGTCCTATATCACTTGCGTCTGTGTCAACTATAAATTCTTATATATATATAGGCTATATATATAGGGTATCCCAAAATAGGTGTTTTGCACAGACGGTCCTTGAGCTCCTGGAATGCGATGTTACAACTTTCATCCCAGCAGAAATGTCGCTTCTCCTCGGTTAGCTTATGCAGAGGTTTGGCTATATCTGCAAAGTTCTTCACAAAACGTCGGTAATAGGAGCACAAACCCAAAAATGCTCTAACCTGCGTCTTGTCTTTCGGAACCGGCCAATCCTTTACAGCTGCGATTTTCTCTGGATCCGTGCGGATACCTTCTTCCGACACTACATACCCCAAAAAGTTGACTTGCCGTTTGAATAGTGAACATTTCTTCGGACTCAACTTAAGGTTGGCACTCTTAATCTTCATGAGCACGCGTTCCAGGTTTTGAAGGTGTTCCTCAAACGTACGGCCCACGATGATGATGTCATCCAAGTAGACCAGACAGGCATCGCCAATTAGCCCGGTAAGTACAAGTTCCATCAGCCTTTCAAACGTTGCTGGAGCATTGCACAACCCAAACGGCATTACTTTAAATTGCCACAGACCCCTTCCCGTCGAGAACGCAGTTTTCTCCTTGTCCTTAGGGTCAATTTCAACTTGCCAGTAGCCACTTTTTAGGTCCAGCGTGCTAAACCACTTTACTCCTGTAAGCATGTCCAGCGTGTCGTCAATTCTCGGCAAGGGATAGCTATCCTTCTTAGTAACGTCGTTTAGACGGCGGTA